ATAGCAAGAACACAAGCATACGTATGCAAAAAGTAACCTCCATCTCACCCCCAACTGCAGACCCAAACATAATGTTTTTGAACTGCTTGTTTTATCTAACCAGTCAAAGCACAAAGGAAGGCACAGTTAATGATGCACCTCAAGCCCATGTACACTGCACAATATGCAAGTCTAGTTCTTGCAATACAGTTCTATCACATTAACAATACTGAGAGAAGCATCATTTCCCCAGACAGCAACAAAGACAGACGACTATTTGAGTCTTTCTCTCCACATGAACTTGAGTCTCTGTGCCAAGAACCGAATTAGCACAGCATACTGCTTATTGTTTTTTCTTTGCTTCTACAGAGAACCTTTGTGCTTTTTCATTCCAGTAAAACTCCCCAGAGGAGCAGGAGGTATGGATTTAAAAAAAAAAACCCTGAGTCAATGCAGCAACCTGAGGGCTGACTGCACTGGAGCTCATCAGAGGAGGAGATTACATTCACAGAGACCGGCACTGACACCTCTGCCCTTAGAAACAGGTCAGGTTTGGTGGGTGTGAAGATCCCAAAGGGTGGTGGAAGGTTGTGTGAGTAATAAGGTGCTTCATCCACTGATGAAAGCTTTAGGTTTGAGGTTAAAGCTGCTTCTTTTTATTGCTGTATTATCGGCATTTTCCACTTGCTAATTAATTATTTTTTGCATTATTTTTCCATCTATATGCTTTACTTTCATACTATGCCCTTTTTGATCTGCAATTTTCATTTTCTATGATCTCTTTCCTTTCCTTATCTGCCTCCCTCTGTTTTCCAGGATGGAGCCCTGAGGAATGATCAGTCTCAGGTTTTCTGTCGCCTATCGCCACACCCAGGTTGAGTTCATATGCTATCAATAGACTAATGTGATCTTGCATACTCTGATCCTCTCCTCTGTGTCTGCAGCTGCAGACCGCATCCTGATGCCTTGTCTTTTTCCTTATTCTCTCTCCTCTTTGCCTCTCATTACCTCTCTCTCCTTCCACCTCTTCCTCTCTCTTTTCCTGGCTCTGCGTCTCTCTCGTTCTCAGCAAAGTCTGTAACTGGACACCCCCGCTGAGACCTCGAGGAAAACTGAGAGCAGGAGTTTGAAAAATTTGTGGGGGGAGGGGGGGTGGACTGAGGGCCCTGCTATATAGTGATGGATTGGGGATAACCTGTCCTGAAAAAGGAGATGGGGCCTAATGGCTGCATAATGCAGCCAAGCATGACTCCACCCCTTAGTCTTTACAAGTGCACACACACATTTATTCACGGCCGTTTGACTCCTCTTTCTCTAATTTACTGTGACAAAATGGTGCCCGTATTTCCATCCAGACACCACAAACTGTTCCTCAAACATCAGTCATAAGCCAAATATGTCAAGGCACGCTGTCTTCACAGTGAGCATGTGCGACCCCTGAGCAGCCATGACCAATTCTGCACATATGTATGAAAAAACATATGTACACATACAGGGAAACAGACATGCACTTTGCACCCATGACTTGGCCGGTGAATGGTTTGTCAGAGACTTCCACCGGCTTGTGGGTGCGGAGATGAAAAGAAAGAGGGAGAGAAGGAGGGTTGCTGACAGGGATCTGTCCCCTGGGGGATGGGAGGGTGGGAAGGACAGAGAGGCAGAGGAGAGTGCAGACGCAGAGAGATGGGCGACTGGGGGTTGAGGATGAGTGCAGCAAAGGCAAACTAGCTCACGGATGTAAAGACCTGTGTGTCTTTGTGTATCCAAAGCAAAGGAAAACAACAAAAATATATTTGGAGATAGATGGAGAATTAATTCATGATAAATAAATATGAGCATTTAAGGGATTGTTAAAAAGAAAAATACCTATTTGGCTTTTGCCTGGAGGCTTCACCTTCAGCTCACTTGTCAGTTCTGAAAAACACAAAAGAAAGACACAGGGAAAGCTGTTAAAGAGGCAGAAATGTAAACGCCACATAAAATCATACTCCATCTGTCTTTTATAGGCAATTTAAAGTCACCAACCAACCTAACCTGCATGTGTTTGGACTGTAGGAAGAAACCAGCACAAGTACAAGCAGAACATGCAAACTCCCCACAGAAAGGCCCCCGGGAAACCAGAACCGTCTAGCTGTGAGGTGACAGTGCTAACCAGTGAACCGCCCACTCACTGGTGCTGTACCGTCTTATTAACGCTGTACCCTGATATTTTCTGTTGCTGCTTAACATAACAGATGCTCGATGCAACTTCCAGCACATTTTCAGTGAGCCCATACATAATTTACAAAGCTAAAATCTGAAACTTTACATCAAAGGCCGTGTGTCAGAGACTTGGCCGATGATGCCCTGTTACATTACTTGTTCCATTCTGGAGATAACCTCCTTTACTGTAACTTCGATAAGACATGTTTGCAAAACTAATTGCTATGCAATCTGTTTCAAGAGGAAATGCAAACCGAACAGATAAGTACCAAAAAAGTCATGTGAAACTTAAAATGCTTGTCGTTGAGCTGCTTTTATCAAAACACCTGAGGTAGCAAAAAAAAAAAAACCCTTGTGAATCATTTTAACCAAAGCCGCATCACTCTGCGAAGGTAAAAGTGATATGTGATTTTGTTCATAAAGCTAGTAGATCCAGACGTTCGTTTTAACATTTGTAGAAAAGTTTTTAATTTTATTTTACTGGGTAAATTTGTATTTCTTCTCAGTAGTGTTATACTCTGTGTTACACTGTAGATGGCTTTTATGTGCCGCATTAGTGGAAAGCCTTTACTGTACATCCATTTGTCTTGTGCCATAAAAACCAGACAGATGACAGACAATCAACAGTCAGCAGGTTGCCTGTCTGAACACTGGACTGTACAGTAAAGCATATCCGATCAAAGCCATTATTGATATATATTTTTTAACAGTGCAAGACATAGAAATAGAGCTGACCCAAGTTACTGTGAGATCAACATCATCAACCTGGCACACTGGTATTTTTAGATACTGGATGAATTATATCTGTCATCTATTTTTTTTAGAAGATAAATGTACCATACTGGTACTATATGGTACTCGGTCATTAGTGGTGGGCCATTACAATGTCCCTGATAAAAATACTTCGGCACTCTGATGGGGTTGTCGGGGAGGGGGTGGGCAGACTGCTGGTCGAGTCTGACCTATCAGTCGTGTTGATGGTCTGACTGCAGCAGGGAAATCTCCACGCTCAACAGTGTGTGTCTGTCTGTCTCTGGTAATTTTTAGATTACTGTGGCATTGATTTGTCTTAATTCCCTTTCCTGGAGCATGTTCAATCAGTAGCCACTAAATGAGGGGTTGTACTTGACATTTTCAGTCTGTAACTCTCTACCAACCCTTACACACTGATATTTGCTAAAACTCTTACTGGCTTAAATTATTGGTGTTCATTCAATTTCATAAGCAAAGTGGAGATTTTGTGGTATTTCACTGGATTTGTCTCATCGATTAAGGTGATTTTCTTGCAGAAAATATTTACATTTTAGTAACAAAACCCTTCAGTGAAAAAGAAAATGGAGATCAGCACATGTATGAGTTGTTTCTAGCCTTTCCTCTCTTCTTGCTCTCTCTGTCACACCCTTTTTGCCTCCTCCTGCAGTCAGCATCACACGCCCACCCATGCAGCTAGCATGAAGAGAGAAAGTCAGAGCAGAGCAACAAAAAGAGCAGAAGAAGAGGGTGGGAAGAAAGGCAGTAGAGAAGAAAGGAATGATGGAGAGAAGTGGGGGTAAGAGGAACCAGCTCCAGAAAGCCCATACTGGCTGATTGCTGGTTGCCAAATGTGAGAACCTTTGAGAGCTCTTCTTCTGTAGTAATTATTCAGAACTGCCAGAAGCATTTCTGAAGCTCATTTAACTGCAATAAGCAAAAAAATAACATTTAAAAAATAGAAAAACATCTTGAAACAACAATCAAATAATTAAAGATTTCAACAGCCAGTGTGTTGTAGGTCAACCTTATCGGCCATGGCCTTATTTAAGGTTTTTATTTATCCTCAACCTTGACTGTTGCTAAGATATCTTGAAAGACAAACACATGCAGTCAATTGATTCTATGACACAATAAACATCAAGCAAAAAGCTCCAATTTCAATTAGGAAAGACCAAAATGAATTCACCTTACAGAAATATAAGTACCTTTATGCTGTTAAGGAATTTAGCACGAGAAAAAAGAAAGGTCAAAAGCCCATAGCCGAAGCTAATATCCACGGCAAAATCATCAGTTCAACCTTGCAGTACATTAGGAAGCTAGCACCACCTCTTCCACCTGCAAACTGCATTAGCCTATAAGCATCTAGCTTTACAGCCATGTTCCAAAGAATTAGCTCTCAAAAAATGTAATGTCGCACCTTTCAAGGTCTTCCACAAGTAAATATCTGTGTGAACAAAAGCAGACAACATATACAGATAAAAACAGACAGGTCCACCTTCAAATAGGATCATAGTTACATTTTTAATAGCTTGCAATTTTCAGTGCATGCTGGAAATCTACATGGGTACACAGGAGCCAGTTCATCTTAATTTGGCTTAAAACAACAGACATTCACTCTGGCAGGACAGCATCAAAAGAAGCTTTAAAGATTCTCAGCTAAAAGAGTAAATGGTCTTGTGCGTTTTGGTGAATCTGGCGTAATAATGTCACTAAATGTGCAATAACACAATGTGGACATGCTGAACAAAACTGTTACAAGCAGATGTAAACCAGGAAACAGATTCATGAGTCTGTAAGGAGATTTATATTTGTGTTGATGAGTTCTGAAGAAGAAAAAGTGTTTGTTGCCACAAACAAAATACAGTGAAACTCTGTGGAAACTTCTTTATTGCCAACCAACGGTTTGGCCACACTGACTGAGCACATGGACATAACTTTTGTTAAAAACAATATGTAAAAGCGCCATGTGGACTGCAGGCAGAGCAGGAGAGGACGAGTAAACAGTTAACAAGACACAAGCTCTCTGATGGCACGTCAGTCTCTCTCGTTCTGTCTGCCTCTCAAAATCACACACACACACATACACACAAACACTGCACAGCTTTATTGACCAGATGTGACTGTGCAGCTGAGCTACAGAGCAATGGAGGGGGTTGTGGTCAACACAACTGGTCACGCTGGCTCTGAGCCCATCTTTGTCTCTCTTCTACCCCCCCCCCCCTTGCAGTAGAGATCTATGGTTTAACCATGAAGGAAATATGGAGGAGGTGTTGTTTTGAATAAATATGTGTGTACATGTAAATTGGTTCATAAAGGTCAGGCACATAAGGGGATTCTCTCAAAGACTCTTCATTTTAAATCTTGGTTTAGGGGTTTTAAGTTAGAATTGTGATGGTTTAAGGTTACAGTGTTAGCCTTTGGCACATGGTTGCCTTAGTAAAGGACAGGAAAAGCTACTAGGGAATTAATGAAATTAAACAGAAGGTCTTCACAAACACAGTAATACTCATGTCAGTGTGTGTGTGTGTGTTTTCATATGCACTTGCTTGATTAAATGGACATCATACCCATTAGACCCTAAACAGGAAATGATGTAACCTACAGGAATTGTGGCATGACATCACCATGTAGTCTTTGTCTGGCTCTGACTGATCGAGCAGACACGCGTTCCAAGAACTATGACGGCTGGATGCCCATGGGGGTCTCTAATTTGAATGAAAATGACAGCAACTGCTAAACACAGCAGATTATGATCTCTAAAAATTAAATACTGGTCATGTGTCCCAAAAAAATGAAGGTGAACCAAATATGAACTTTTAAATATTTAAGGATAAACAGGACAGAATAATAAAAGTATCTACTGTGGGTGCAGGCTTGATGAATTATTTTAAAGCAGGGAGAGAAAAAACTGGCCAGTCTACCACAGGGCTGACAGTGACAGACCATCACACACACCCACACTGCCAAATATAATCTTGCTTCTTAAATCGCTATTTAGTGTTTTAATGACATATATCAAGTTTCAAATCCTTATTGTACAGAGGAAAGGTTATTTTAGTAAGTCAGAAAGTATCTTCCTTTAATTACCTCCGCTATGTGTGTGTGTGCTTCTTTGTTGGTTAGCAGAATCACAGTCAAATGGCTGGATGTATCATTAGGATACTTGGTACAGTCACTGGACGGGACCAACCCTAGAAGCATTTTGAGTTTGGCTGGAAAAGGTCAAAGGTCAAGGTCACAAAAAAATGGACCACCTAGGACCTTGGTGTAGATGTATGTGCTCTCTGAGTGCTCTTGTTCAAGAGCTGTGATCACAACATTTGGGGGGTCGTCACATTAAAGTTCTCTCACACACACAGTAACAACAGTACGAGTGAGTCCCTCACCTGAACATCGTTTCTGCAGGGACAGGATCTCCAGGTGGAGGCCATGGAGCAGAGTGAGGTGCTCCTGCCTGAGGAACGCCATGCTCCTCTCTACACTCTCTATCTGCCGAGACAAGCTGCTCTCGTCGCCCATGGCTGAGTCTGGAGAAACACAGGGAGGGAGTCAGAAGGACTGACAGGTTTTTGTTTACTCCACCAGAAACCATCCCGTTCTGTCTTCAAGAGACTACCTGGTTTAACATCATATGACTGTAAACTCCGGCTGCTAACTGTCACTTTCTCTCCTACTGTGAACACTGTCAGCCACAGAGAGAGGGAAATGCAAGGCGTATGGATTCATATGGGTGTTATAAATAAGGAACTGATGATCAGACAAATTAACAGAAATGGAAAAAGTCACGCAGCACCCGTCACGGTGCAGCTAAATCCATAGCTAATCATTTGTATCAGATAATAAGTAGATGGAAATGTTTTTGCTTACCTTGATGTTAACAATCGCAATTTAAGAAAAGTGATTTGTAGGTGTTATAAAAACATCCTCCGATTGGGGCATGCTGGCCTCCAGTGCTGGTCCAAATCCTGTAGGCTGCGGAATTCACCCAAAAGCAATTTTATTTGAAGCATTAAAGTGCTTTTTAGCTGCATGTGACGCCGTACGGTTAGAAGAGGAAGAGGATGGAGAGCTGCGTAAAAATGTAAAACCACCACGACGCATGGCACCGTCTTCCACTGGCAAAACGGCTCCGTGCTGCTGCAACATCTGCGTCGAGCATCATTAGGAAGAGGATGTTTTCAAACTGATCGATATAAAAGCCCGTGAAGGAAGTGCGCAGTCCATTTTTAATATGCGTACATCTCCACCTCACCCAGTGACTGACTGAGGAATCGAGCTAGGAAATGATGAAAACAAGCCATCGTGCACAGAACACGCGAGAACACAAACCGACAGCAGCTGATTGGAGGGACCAGCCGACATCTGCGCCACGGTCTACACTGGATGTGGAGCTGCTGAGAGCGCAAAGACAAAAACATAACATTTCAATGGCTCACTGGCTAAAAAAAGATTTGAACGATTATAAAAGCCATTCAAACAACTGCATAAAAACTCGAATAACACCAACTCTTACACATTTCTGGTTTAAGATGTATTTGATATCAAAATTCAAGCTTTGTTTATCCTAATGCAAACATTTTCAACTCTTTCACAAAAGTGCTGCCAACAAATGTGATTTATTAAAAATTAATCCAACATTTCACTAGATTAGCCAGTGACGGAATGTAACTAGGAACATTTATTCAAGTACTGTACATAAGTATAATTTTGAGGTATCTTTACATGAGTATTTTCATTTTCTGCTATTTCATAGTTTGACTTCACTACATTTCAGAGACAAACATTCTACTTTTTATTTCATTACATTTGTTTGATAACTTTAGTTAATAGTTACTTTTCAGAACCAGATTAATACAAAGATATAGTGTGAATATAAGACATTATTGGTCCTCGGGACCGTCAGTGGAAAATTCACAAGCTATGCAGCAGCATATGCAAAATGTTTCTAAACATAAGATAGGTAAAACTAGCTCCCCTGCAACAGATCAATAATTTAAATCCAATAATATGTTAGCTGTGCCATTCTGCATGAGTACTTTTACTAATTTAAGTATATTTTATGCTAATACGTTTGTACCCAACCTTTATTGCAATTTCAAACATATACAAGGTACACAGTGAAACTAAATTCCTTTATTTCAGGTATCCCAAGTATTACACTAAAGGAAGTATTTTCACTTTTGATACCACAAGTATATTTTACTGCTAATACTTTTGTATTTTTGTATGTTATATTTTGAATGTATTCAGAATACGTCTTCCACCACTATTATATATTATTCAGTAGTGTTAGTGTAACTAGACTTTGACTGAATCGGACTGTGTATTCTACTCTGTTTAAGGTACCACCACCTTAATCCCAAAATCTCCAGTCACAACAGTTGTCAGACAAATGTAATGGAGAAAAATGCAACATTAATTTCTTGATCCTTTATTTTCATTTTAAACAAATTGATATCATACAAACATGTAAACTGGACTTTTAATTACAAAACAATCTCTGCCAAAATATGAAAAAATAAAACTATTTAACAGTTAAAGATAGATGATTTTGCGTTCAGGGCCTCAGTTGATCTCAGCTGCTTCAGTATTCGAGGTTCTTCCCCTTAGTGAAGGGTTTATAAGTCCTTGTCAAGGTGCACACTGTAAATAGTCTTCACTGTTGTCATTCATCTCATTTTTAAACAGATTTTACCATGATTAGAAACACAGAAGTATATAAATGAACAAAGAAAACAAAATTGGTATTTGTTATTTGTGGTTTTAAAAAAATGAATAATGATACTATTAAAGGAAGGATCAATGTAGCTAACCCCCACAGTTACCGTGTATGGAAAAACATGAGGCTGTGTGGGAACACAAGTTCATAACTGCTGCCATTTTCTCTGCAGTTACATCCTGTAACCATCCTTCTGTCCACTTCCCACTAAAATAACACCACAGCATCATCCTGCGGCCTTGGACAATCACGTTTTAGAATACGAGCAGGAACTGAAATGCTTTCAGCGTCATTGCAACATTTCTATAAGCAGAAAAGTCATCTTGGTAATTCACACAGCAACACAATGGACACAGCTGATATTACAACTCCAATAACATTACACTCTTTTACACCACATTTACAAATATAAACTTATTGGTTAGAAAGGACTTCAACTGTCACCAGCTGTCTTCACTAGAGCCAGAAAGGTTCTAATAGTTAGAGGAATAAAAAATAAATTCAACTCTGTATTCATTATAAAAACTCAAAGTGAGACATATGCTTAATCTCTGAAAAAGGAAACTGGGGATTAGCACTCTGGTTTCAGGGCCTGAACATCAGCAGCCTCAGTGTCAGACAGTGGGCCAAGTAAATTCTGGCTGAGGAAAGTAAACAAAAATAAACGATGACCTGAAGTGGCAACGTGCCCCGCAACAACACGACTTACACACAATCGGCTTGGCTATCATTCACGTCTGAGGTAAGCTGCTCTAAGGGTTAGGGTTATACTAATTATGACTCTTATAAAGTTTGTTATGACTTATGTTTGTTATTTTTTCCTAGATGGTTTATTACAATATAATACACATTTGCATTGTGGTATCACAGTAAAATTCTCTGTCTTATTTAAATGCAAACTCAGTGTATTATCTATCACACTATCACTCTGTGAGTAGGGATTGGTATTTGCTAAATTTCCTTAGTCCACAGACAAAACCTTTAGTCATATAAATGATTCCTTATGTTTTTCTTCTGCCAAACACTGACAGCAAAGCTTGAGATAAAGAAGTGTTACAAACTTTATGAGGTAGTAGATGGTTTAAAGTTGAGTGGTCAACTTCAGTGTCTTCACTTAACCACAAGGTTTATCTGACAATAAGATGTTTGGTATTGTTTTACAAGAAGAAGCTGCCATACGCTATTAGTGAGCTGCTAATGTTAATTACACAATCACAGAAACCAAACATACAACTGACAGGCAGTGGAGCTTTGACCTATGGCTGGAATCAGGCCCCTCAATAACACCTCGTACACAGGTGCCTGTGCTATATGAGAGATAGAACGATCCTCCCGTCTAAGAAAAAGGGTACCAAATCTCACCACAGGATGTTAACGTAGAGTAATGAGTGTGTTTATGAATCTACTTCTTCTTGTCTCTTCTTCCCCTCCTGTCTACATCTCCTTCTCTTTCTCCTTTTTGGCCTCCCGGGTGCTGCTCTTCAAAAAGTCGCTCCTGAGCAGTCGAAAAAAGAGGACAATGTTCATGACTGTCATGACGGCCAGACCGACGCTGCCCAGTGTGTAGGCCATGAGGGGCACCTTGTCCCTGTTAAGCACCAGCCAGCGGGTCATCCAGGCCAGCGTACTGATGCGGAAAACCACATAGGTGCCCAGGTTCATCATGCTGTTGAGCCGGCACAACGTTCCTGTGGCAATGTTGGCCATACGCAGGATCTGCCTGAGGTGGAGGAACACAGAATTTATCTCCACCAACAGAGCCACCACGGCAAATCCCACATAGCGGCACGATAGCACTGACAGGCCGAAACAGGTGATCACCTACAGAAGAGGACAATGAGGGAAAAGACAGAGAGGAAGAACATGACACTTGTTCAATAAACAATATTTTGAATACATACACGTAATGTGCTGCAAAGTAAATAAATTATTAACAAAACTAAAAAGACCAAGAAGACTAACTTAATACCTAACCATAAAAGACACTTAAGTGATAAAACATCATCTCTTCTGTAATGGAAACATTGTGTAGTAATGATTAAACATGTTCTTTGTATATCATTCTTATCCAGTACAAGCTGTGCAACTGTGCTCATCAGGAAATGTGTGAATATGTAGAATCTTTTCTAAACTTGCTGAAGGATGGAGAGGCTGTGCCTACAGACAGGGAGGGGAACTGAAACTCTCTGTTCCAGGAGTGTGCTGTGCTGATGCTGGAAACTGGGTGAGGGGTGATAAGGATCATATAAAAGACAAAGCACTGTACTTACTGCTTTAGTGCACTCAGAAACAGACCCGATCTGTTTGACTGTGCTCTCTTGGCCAAGGATAAATACTTCACGCTTACTGCTGAACATTGATGGTCCTTATCTCATATCTCACATAAGAGAATTTTCTTCACAGTTGCAAAAGAGATTCACCAATGTGACCGATCCACTGACATATATACACTGGACATGGCGTCACCACTATGCAAAAATGAAGTCCCAGCGGCTGCCATCTTGCTTTTTTGCAGCCAGATTTAGCCACCAGAAGTGCTGTTGATGGGCATTCACTGCTGCTAACGCCAACAGATACTCATTACGAACTTCAGTCAAACGGTCATCACTCTCTTTCAACCTGGCACTGAGCTGTACACACACACACACACACACACACACACACACACACACACACACACACACACGTACACACGTACACACATACACACACACATCAGGGTGATAATCTAATAAAAAAGACCAAAGTGACCTCTGGGAAAATGTATTTGATTTGTACTTTGATCTTTTAGTTTGGCTCATGTCCCATCCACTAACATGGAGGCAGGATTTATGAGCTATACAGCAACCATCCACCAGGGGGCGTCATTTCTGGGCGCCTTCATGATGTCCATAGTCTTTATACAGTCGGTGGACCAATCTGGTTATTTGAAACAGTCAAGTCACATTTTCTGTCCTTAGACCCTTGAATCAGATAAGTAAGAACTGTGTGCTAGTGTATTTCTCATAGGAGAAGGAGATTAAGGAGAATGGTTGAACTAAAAGTACATTAGTGACTAAAGGTCTTCTTGGCACAAGGAAACAAATAATACATAATTAATCTACACTAGTTTCCATGTTTCCACTGTGATTCTTTTCAGTGAATGCTCTCTGACAGTATTTTACTCAGTGACCATGTGGAAGGACCACTCCCATGACTCATTTCTGCTGAGCAGCGCTTACAAAAGCATGTGATGTAACTAACGGATGAACTCCACAAGATGGCAGCAGTATCATTCAAGATCAGTCTAGGGGGAAAAAAACATTACACCAAGAAAACTCCACAAAACCTACCTGCTGGTATTTCACCAAAGAGTCAGGAGAAAGGATTATATACAGCATCTGATATGTTGTGACAGAAGTGACAGCTGCTGCCTGACACACTCACAGCTGTAGACTGTTCAAACTACTCTCCACAGGAGCCAGCTCCCACTCACAGAACCCAGTTTCACCAACCTTATTCACACTCAAAGTAATGGTTTATGGTGGCATTAAGCCAACACAAGGTTTTGGTTCATAGCAAATTACATGAAACTGGCCACTTTTTACTGACATCCTATTCAAATTACATGAAACTGGCCACTTTTTAAAAAAACATCCTATAATAAACTTAAGTGTTAGTCAAGGAAACATTAATCTCTAAGTGGCACTAAGGGTCACTAAAATTTCTACAAATAATTATACAGAGACCATGAATCATGATAATAAATTTAGCAGAAATCTGGCCAGTTTAATTTAAATATCTTACTAGGGACCAAAGTGTTAGACAGACAGACACTGTCCTGTTGCTATATGTAGAAAATGCCTCAGTTTACTCACATGTTGATTTTAGGATTAACCCCGACTGTCTCTCTCGCTCTCTCTCTCTCTTTCTTTCACACACACACACACACACAAACAAAGCACAAATCAAACTCATGCACCTGCTGTCGAGTTATAATGACAGTGATTTCAAACAGTGTTGATGCACAGTTACAGCAACAGTGAAAGCACTGTACAGTATTTAGCAACACAAACAGCTTGCCTCATCAAAGCCAGTGTGCTGGGAGTGAAAACTGTTACCTCAACGTGACACAGGGCCTTTCAGCACAAAACAAGGCCCCACACATGCACACAAAGTCATGAGATGACAATGTAGTGTTGGCCAGCCACTCTCCTGTGACATTCTAACAGGCAGGACAGGTGATGGATGCTGAGTCTGAAAAGTCCGGCCAAAACAAGGTGTGCGACACCCTGTTATGAAAGTCACAGAAGAAGGCAGCAAAAAAGAATCACTGGATGGTTTGAAAAGTATGAAGATGACGTGAATCACATGCTGTCACCAGGTCTCAACCCAGTTGAACACCTATAGGGGATTTTAAACAGCGTCTCCACCACCATCATCAAAACCACATGAGGGAGTATCTTTTGGAAGAACTGTGTTACTCCCTCCAGTAGAGTTCAGAGACTTGAAGAGTCAATGCCAAGGAGCACTGAAGATGTTCTGGTGGTATGTGGTGGCCAAATACTGGCTTTGAGCCAAGAAAACAGGACTTAAAATGCACGTTCCTTTTATTTTACCAACAACCAAAGTACAGCTGGATTAGTCTATCACAAGTATGCCAAGCCAATTTGAATTTCTTTTTATAGCAGCCTAAATATTCACCATAATTCACCACTATAACTTTTAGAAATGTATAAAGATGAAGCCTTGAAAGCATGAATCAGAATCAGTGCTGGACACAGTGTAGTTAAAGGCCATCATTCAACACCCATTTCTGGGTCAGACTGATATATGTAAGATCAAGAATCGCTGTCTGGGATAAAAAGGAAGCCATGTCAGGCTGACATACAAAACACTATGTTCTGTCATGTCATGCCATGTCAGATGTGATATGGCACAGCTGAGACACAACTCCAAAACAGAGGCAGATTCTCTTCATTTGTTGTGTTATAAACACACTCAACCACATTGGTTCAAACACAAAGGAAAGACATCAACAACTCTGGGGTCCAATATCTGTTACCCTGAACACAGGAAAGCAAGACCATGCACTGATAAACCTGCATACAAGTACCCACACAGACACACACTGAGGTCAAGACAACTTTAACCACATCAGCAGGTTCATCTAAAGTCTAATCTGATCTGGGAAGATAAAACACAATCAAACATGGGACTGGGAAGGGCCTCAGTTAGTCATCCATAAAGAACGGCCACAGGAGCCAGTTCCTGCACCTCTTAGTGTTGTTAGTGCCCACAGCTGAGGGGGGATGACAGTAATATCCCACCAGCATTAACTGGATTTGTCCCACTAAGATCTGCAGAAGCCTAGCCAGCTTGTGGACAGATGGATGCCAGCAGGATTTTCACGACAATGGTAGGTTAATGATAAATATGCAGTGGTGCTACTTCTTCAAATACATTCAATCCGACCTCCATAAATTCCAGTATCAAATTGCATTATTTGATTTACGGTATTTAGTTTTTCCACCATTAAGGTGGGACAACTAGTGAAAAGGGCTCATTTTAGAGTGAACATCTAGACAACAGGGCAAACTCTATATGCTTAAGAAGACAACACAGCTACTGAAGGACCCTGTGGTGAGCCCGTTTGCCCAGGGCTGGTCCAGGCTCAGGAATTAACATTGCATGTGAACTTCTGAATTATAAATGGAAAACAGCCACACATAGCCTGGTATCAACAAGCACAACCGCCTGTATGGTTATAGGCAGTGGACATTTGTAAAATAGGGACTGAGGTGGTTAGTACTTAGGTTTAAACTAGACAGAAAAAGACAGGAGGATAGTTATTTAACCTTTGGTCTGCACCGACATACATTAACCTACTGTTATAAAAACCAAGAAAGTGCTGAAAAACAAGGTGGCAAGGGTATTTGTTCCATGCATTTTCTCCCCGTGGGCTCAATTAGACACCGTGTTTACAAGCTGGTGAGGGACTTTCTGGCTGCACCTTCAGGGGATGAACAGTGTGAAACCTGGCATTTGGGGGTGGGCTGTTCTGACTTTTAGTATCAAGGAAAACAACAAAACTGACCAGGTCAACCAAATAGTTTGAATAAAGATGACACATATTGATATGTTTGCCTTTAAATGGGGCTACCTCAGAGGGTAAGCTGACCGAAACCCAGGCCCAGATGAAGTCAATTCATTTGACCTCATGGTGGGATAGTGGTTATACTGGTAGAAGGATGTTGGAGATGAAGCTGCCAGACAAGAGGTCAAGAGGAAGGCCAAAGGGGAGATATATGGATGTGCTAAAAGAGGACATGAAGTTAACTGGGGTGAGAGTAGAGGATGCTGAGGATAGAGTTAGGTGGAAACAGATGATTGCTGTGGTGACCCCTAACGGGAACAGCCACAAGAAGAAGATTTGACCTCATACGAAACCTTGAACAAAGACGACACCTGAAAGGCAAACTATGTCAAGTAACAGCCAGAAGTTAATGGCTGCATCATTCTCTGCTTTTCAAATAGTTGAAAAACAAAGAATAAAAAAACTCATTTAACCTTGTCTGTGCCACTGCTTTCTTGTCTTTACTCTTTACTTCCCAAGAAACTTCCCTAAGTTTGTCGTTACTTTTATTCTATAAAATATTTTAGCTTGCTGCAATTTTCTTTTTCCATCTGTTGTGTGAGAAAATTTGGTTCATGTTGATTTTGTGCTGGTTGGTCTGGGTGTGGTGCCGCACCTCAAAATAATTTGAGGTATATAAACGTCACTGGCGTAGTAGTTTGCTCTAAATAAAAACTACTTTGTGGAGTGTTGAACAAGGCTGTTT